CTAACAAGTTTCAGTCCGTTGACAAAGACTTTGAGGAATCCACCAAATAAAGACCAGGCCAGACAAACATGATGCCGCTCTTGATCAACCACAAATGACGGGACCTCCTTGTGGTTAAAAGCGGAATTTTTTTCTCTGTCAAATTCTTTTGAACAAGTAAACCACAATCTCATTGCACAAGATTGGCATCCAAACTACGTAATTGCTTCACTTAGAGCATTCTCGCCATAAATGAGCAACTTCTGAGCAGTTTTCGATGCACATTTTAAAAAATCTACGGCGAAGAGCACTGAAATGTAATTCCGGTAAGAAGCACTATTCCAGTATCAAGAAGTCCAGACCTGAGATTTCGGTTCATTATTTTAAGTATCGATAGTACTCACCACTTCTGTTCTAGGACACGAACTGTGATGGTCCTATTGAAATTTATTCCAACAGCTGGTTTTTCTGGACAATCTGCTAATTTCGTCCTGTATGTTACGTCAACAATGGATTGGTTTGTTTGGAGCCAAACGCAGGCAGCTAGAGCTTTCAGATCATTTTCGAAAACAATCGGAATCGTTATGTTTCCGAACTGGAATAATGGTAGGATAACTACAAATTCGTCGTTCTTTTCAGATGTCACTGTGTACAAAACCAAGGCGTACTAGTCAATATTTTGTCTTAAGATGTATGTAGCCACGAGAGTTATTCTTTTATCAGTTCTGTCGTTCGTCTTTGTTAATTGTAATTAGTGTAAATAGTTCTCGTCTCGATATTTCAGTTCTGTATTTATTAGTTTGTATTTTTACGTGCTGTCAAAATGTAAATTAATTTTGTCAGCGTTGTTTCATGTAATCGCCTTTGAGTATTGTGTAGCCTTGTTTAGTCTATTGTTTTAGCCTTTATCCGCTATATAACATCGTAGTTGTAATTTTTCATCAGTCGTTGTTATTCCGTAGTGCCGTACAGATCTTGTCAGTAGTTACGCTTTCGTTTGTATTTTCCTGTGGTTTTTCGTATTCCTTCGTTGTATTTTAGTTTCGTTGGGTTTAAGTTCGCATTGTTAACTCTGTATTTTTTTGTGTTATGTACAAGTGAATCGTCGAGATTAAAAAAGGTACGTATTTCAAACTGTGACGGAGTGTCAGTTACAATGTAATATAATTTAAGACTTTTACAAGGGAAGGTTATTTTCAGCGTGTAAGCTTACTTTTGTGCGTCACAGAGACGAGTAGGTCTCTTCCTAAATTCAGTCAAACCTAGAAGTCTCAACTGTGAATAGAGCGAATAACTTACCACAAAGAAAGTAAAAAGGCCAGGTCCTTTGCTCTTCACCCTGGTTTAGACTAGGACGCCGGTCCTGGGGTGAACTCGGTTTTGAATCGTGCATTATATCGAAGAAACTAAGTGAAACAGAGTGTTAGTAAACGAAGCTTGATTATCTTGAAAGAAACTACGGATTATGTTTC